GCCATCACTTCTAATGATGTAAGCAGACTGCTTGTTTTTCTGAGTCTAACAGCATGCAGAGTTACAGCTTCAGGCATGAATATAGTAAGATTTTGCTATATTTATGGAAGCATGAGGGGCCCAGGGGGCTAGATGGTGGTGTTAACACTATAGGGTCATGAATTCATGTTTGTGTTCCTGACCCTATAGTGATCCTTTAAGGTAATGCTGACTTTGGTCTCTCTAACACTGTGGCATGTTCCCTTTCTTCTACACTCACTACATACAGCTTTTCTCTGTCCCAGACCATATACCAGGAGCTTCTGCCTGCTAGTATGAAGGTAAGGAGACAAGTGGACCAGCGAGTGCTAGGGGACAGTCCTTAGAAAGCATTGAGCGAGCGCATCATTAGATGCATTTATGCCAAGCTCAGGGTGCTGTCTGCATAGTATGCCCTTAGTTGGCCAGCTGCATGATTGGCAGGCAGCCTGACATGCATTCATGCCAGGCTGGCCTTCTAATTCTTTGAGCAGACATGTCCTCTTTTTGGGCATGTTCGCCCCTTTTAGCAGGTTACGTGATTACGTGATTTGTGTCAGTGGCCCACCCTTTTACCGTGCCCATTGACTTCCTGCCTGACTGGACACTGCTGTTAGGGATAATGGATTTACTTTAAAAGATGAAAACATAAATTAGAGAGAGATTAGCCTAGGGTATGTGTTTTCTTATAGCTACTGTTTTCTTTGTCTCCAGCACCATCTCCATCAGATTCATGATGCTTGGGAGTGTTTTACTGTTTTTGGTCGATATGATTCTGTAATTAGGCCCGTCATAATTGTCAGCACCAGGCCCACTGGGCTCTTAATCTGGCCCTGCCTACCCCCTGTACCCTCTGCAGCCTCTTCACTCCACATCCTCTACAGCCCCTTCCTCCAAGCACCCTTTGCACGCACAAGCATAAAGGAACGCTATAGTTACCAGAACAACTACAGCTTAATGTAGTTATTCTGGTGAGTATAGTCTGCCCCTGCAGGGTTTTTGCTGTAAAGGCTGCCTTTTCAGAGAAAAAGCAGTGTTACATTGCTTCCTAGGAACATCTAGGTGCTTCCTGTGTCAGTGTTGCAAAATGTGCAGCACTGACATTCCGCATAGAGACGCTGAACACTTGTCATAGAGAAGCACTGATTCAATGCATCTCTATGAGGAGATGTTTATTGGCACAGCTTAGTGCAGGGGTCCTCAAACTCCGGCCCCCCAGATGTTGCTGAACTACAACTCCCATGATTCTCTGGCTATCTATGTAATGCAGAGAATCATGGGAGTTGTAGTTCAGCAACATCTGGGGGGCCGGAGTTTGAGGACCGCTGGCGTAATGTTTTGCCGCACATGCACAATAGCCTTCCAGTGCTTTCCTATGGTAGAGCATTGGGCAGGCTGAGATCATCTAAAATTGTTGAACTCTGCCAAGGAGTTTGGTCGGTGATGTAAAAAAGGTGAGTAAATCCTGTTTTTAAGGGGGGCCAGAAACCTATAGCGTCAAGAATACACTTTTGTATTCCTGACACTATAATGTTCCGTTAAAGGGACACTATAGTCACCCAGACCACTTCAGCTCAATGAAGTGGTCTGGGTACCAGGTCCCCCAGGTTTTAACCCTTCAGATGTAAACATGCTATGTTTACATTGCGGGGTTAATCCAGCCTCTAGTGCCTGTCTTCCTGACAGCCGCTAGAGGCGTTTCTACGACGCTGGATTCGAAAATCGCATTCAGCGTGCAGAACGTCCATAGGAAAGCATTGAGAAATTATTTTCTATGCACTTGGGAGCTGACGTCGGCGGGGGAGGGGAGGTCACCAGCACCGAGGGAGCCCAGCGCTGGATAAAGGTAAGTGGCTGAAGGAGTTTTAACCCCTTTAGCCCAGCGGGAAGGGGACCCTGAGTGTGGGGAGGGACCTAAGGGTTATATTACCTACCCATCAGAGCAATGCTCTATATTCTCCTCCTCTCCTTCTCTCTCATCTCCCTAAGGATCAAAATATCCCCTTCCACCCACTTCCCTCAACAACACACTCACATTTACATTAATCCCTCTCTGCTACACTCCCCCCTTCTCTCATCTCAAGCCCTGCACTCATTTCTCTATTCTCTCTCTCCTGCTCTAACCCAATCTCACCCTAGTCACTGCCTATATAAAACCCACTCACACCTCCTGTCTCTATCTCTCCTCCTACTTCTGGCAGCTGGTGACATCTCTCCCAACCCAGGGCCCCTCACCTCATCTGCTCACACTAAAATAACCAGAAACCATGCAAACCTCCTCCAAATACCCTGCAGTCTATCCTCCTCTACCAAAATTCAGTGTGCACTCTGGAATGCTCGCTCCATTTGTAGTAATATCAAATCTACAGCTATACATGACCTCCTCATCTCTAACTCTCTCACAATACTGGCACTCACTGAGACCTGGCTATCTCCATCCGATACCGCTACTCCTGCTTCTTTATGTTTCGGTGGTCTACAGTTCTCCCATACTCCTAGACCTGACTGTAAAGGAGGTGGTGTCGGCATCCTTCTCTCCCCTCAATGTACCTTTCAACCTATCCTCCCTGCCCCTGCCCTATCCTTTACTTCCTTTGAAGTTCACACTGTACGCCTTTTTAAGCCCACTCCTTTAAGAATTGCCATCATCTATCGCCCCCCCGGTCACCCTAAACTATTCATTGAACACTTTTCCTCCTGGTTACCCCACTTTCTTTCCTCTAGCACTCCCTCTCTCATACTTGGGGACTTCAATATCCCTATCAACAAGCTCAACTGCCCTGATGCCTCTCGTCTGCTCTCTGTAACCTCCTCCTTTGGACTCACACAGATTTCTTCCTCAGCAACTCACACTGCAGGAAACACTCTTGACCTCATCTTCACCAATCTCTGTACCACCTCTGATCTCGCCACTGCTCCATTTCCTTTGTCTGACCACCATCTGCTAACATTTAACATCTGCATACCCCATACCAAAATCTCACCACCATCCACTCTCCAACCTCGCAGAAACCTCAACTCTCTCGATCTCCAGCACTTCTCCACTAAACTCCAAACACTCCTTTTACCCATCTCAAATCACAACTGCCCTAACTCTGCAACCTCACTCTACAACTCCACTCTCTCCTCTCAACTTGACATCATGGCACCTCCTACAGTTAAACGCAGCAAGCGCCCCCAACTACAACCCTGGCACACCAAGCTGACCCGTTACCTCCAAAAATGTTCCAGAACTGCTGAACGCTGCTGGAGAAAGTCTCACTTTGCATCTGACTTTGTCCACTATAAATTTATGCTGCGCTCCTACAGCATGGCTCTTTCCTCTGCAAAAGTAAGCTACTTCAACACCCTCATAAGCACACTGTCCCACCAACCCAAACACCTGTTTCACACTTTTGATGCACTTCTTCGCCCTGTGACTCCCCCTCCTTCCACCACCTTGTCCGCCACAAACTTTGCATCTCATTTCACTGAGAAGATCTCTACAATCAGGAAAGAGATCTCTAATCTTTCTCCAACCAGTATCAATACATCACCCAACCCCTCTCCCCCTGTCATCCTAAGCTCATTTGCACCTGCTACAGCACAAGAGGTTTCTGCTCTGCTCCTGTCCTCCCGCCCCACCACCTGCTCCCTCGATCCTATTCCCTCGCATCTCATCCGCACTTTGTCTCCCTCTCTTGCTCTTCCTCTCGCTAACATTTTCAATCTCTCCCTTTCCTCTGGCACATTTCCCTCTGCCTTCAAACATGCAACCGTAACCCCAATTCTGAAAAAGCCCAACCTTGATCCCAACTCCCCATCCAACTACCGCCCTATCTCGCTACTGCCATTTGCCTCCAAGATCCTCGAGAGAGTTGTCTACGCCAGATTGACAGACTTTCTTGAATCCAACTCTCTGCTTGACCCCCTTCAGTCTGGATTCCGCGCTGGTCACTCTGTCGAAACTGCTGTGACCAAAGTATCCAACGATTTAATTGCTGCTAAATCTCGCGGCCAATACTCTATCCTAATCCTCCTTGATCTTTCTGCCGCCTTTGACACTGTTGATCATCAACAGCTTCTTCACATTCTCCGTAACTTTGGTCTACGGGATTCTGCTCTCTCCTGGTGCTCCTCCTACCTCTCCCAGCGCTCCTTCAGTGTTTCTTTCTCTGGCTCTGCCTCTTCTCCCCAACCCCTCCCTGTCGGCGTCCCCCAAGGTTCTGTCCTCGGCCCCCTACTGTTCTCTATCTATACTGCCTCCCTTGGTAAACTCATCAGCTCTTTTGGCGTCCAATACCATTTATATGCAGATGACACGCAAATCTACCTGTCCTCCCCTGATCTCTCTCCGCCCACCTTGACTCGTGTTTCTGACTGCCTCTCTGCTATTTCCAACTGGATGGCTGCTCACTTCCTTAAACTCAACCTGTCCAAAACAGAACTTCTAGTTTTTCCTCCCTCAAGTGCTGCTACTCCTGTGTCTGTCGCCATCCAAGTCAACGGCGCTACTATCACCTCTACCTCCCAGGCTCGCTGCCTAGGGGTTCTTTTTGATTCTGATCTCTCTTTTACTCCCCATGTTCAATCGATAGCCAAATCCTGTCGCTTCCAACTCAAGAACATAGCGCGCATCCGCCCATATCTAACGCCGGACGCGGCTAAGGTACTGGTTCATGCTGTTGTTCTCTCTCGCCTTGACTATTGCAATCCCCTTCTCACCGGTCTTACATGTTCCCAGCTTGCACCGCTGCAATCTATAATGAATACGGCTGCGAGGCTTATTTTCCTGTCCGGTCGCACCTCCCACGCCTCCACGCTCTGTCAGTCCCTGCATTGGCTTCCAGTTAGATATAGGGCCCAATTCAAAATTCTGGCGCTTGCTTACAAATCCCTACATAATGCTGCTCCAACATACCTATCCTCCCTCATACACAAGTATGTCCCGACGAGACCCCTGCGCTCAGCCCAAGACCTACTCCTATCCTCTGCCCGGATCCCCACCTCTGATGCTCGCCTTCAAGACTTCTCCAGGGCTGCACCTATTCTGTGGAACTCCCTTCCCTCCTCAATCAGACTTTCACCCAGCCTCCATTCCTTCAAAAAATCTTTGAAAACTCACTTCTTTATTAAAGCGTATCAATTAAACGGTCAGCAGGTTTCTCATCCCCCACCCCATGACTCCGTTCCTTCACCTGTCAAAAATGACCTACCAAGTGCTCAATAAACCCTTCTGTAACAAACTATTTAATTCCCCTACTTTAACCCTTTGTGTCACTATACCCCACTCCCTCTAGCATGTAAGCTCATCGAGCAGGGCCCTCAACCCCCTCTGTTCCTGTACGTCAGTGGTCTGTTCTCAATTATGTGTCTGTTAGTCCACCCATTGTACAGCGCTACGGAATTTGTTGGCGCTATATAAATAATAAAATAATAATAAAATAATAATAATAATAATAATAATATAGTGTTAGGAAAACGAGTTTGTTTTCCTGACATTATAGTGATCCTTTAAGGTGGCTTGTAACATTTAACACTTGATGATTTGTAATTTAAGACGCAAAATTTGGACCTCATACAAACACATTGCCAAAATTCAGAAATACCCCTTTCTACAAACTGCCATGCTACACAAACACACACAAAAAAATACTACCCTATTTATAAAACCAAAAACGTATTCAAATATACTATGAATTCACATACCCTGACACTACACACAAAGACATACATATATTCACTCACACTAGCGCTTACATACATTCACTTTACATGTACATATAATCAAATACACGGTACACCTACACCAGCATATATGTCAGTCTGCTTGGGGCCCAGGCCACTGTCAGTCCGTCCCTGCTCCATAGATATTTGAGTACCAGAAGCAATCACTACAGGATCTATAAGTAAATTGATATCCCCACGTAAAATATTTTTTCCTTATGGTGCAGAGGAGAGCATGCAAAACAATTTTGTTCAAATAGAAAGAGGAGCTGTGAGGGGAAGGTATACACTAGCGATAGTAAAATCCATTCTTTGAACGGTACATGATACTGTGTTAAAAAAAAAGATGGTTCATCAAAATTACTAGGAAACAGTAACTTGTAAAGACCCATAATAAAATAAAGATGTGACACGCGTTTAAACTTTTTAAACAGTGACAAATAGGAAAATCAAAAAAAAAAAAAGAGGACTTTACATGTTTCAAAACGTGCTTCTTCAATGCATATGATAGAGGCCCTGTACTATTAGGGTGATTCCGATGGGAGTCGGCATTTATGTGGTGTCACGTGAAGTGACGTTAAGCACCATGGGTCATAAGGAGATAAGATACATTTGAATAACACAATATAAAAGGTTTAAATAAAATTGTGAGGGAAAGCAATGTTACTTGAGAAAATGAAATTCTCACAGGCTCTCTCCAGGACCATTACACAAATTAACCAGACTAAGCTTCTGATAAGCTCACGGGCAGGGTCCTCTACCTGTCTTCACTTCTGGGGGTTGACGGTTACCTCTCAAGGGAGATAGAACAACGAGTTAATCACAACTATTCTATCAAAATGTGGCATAAACTAATCAACCAAGGGTCTAAACTGACAATTGGCATAAACACCATGCGCAAAATGACTGGCAGTCAGAGAAAGAAAAAATACACAAATACGGACTTCAACCTCAAACATAAATTAAATAACGTAATAAAGAGGAACATGGGCAAGCTGCCAGTATACTTATCAAACAACATTATTAGCTGAAGAAAGGTTCTCAGTTGGTGTGTGAGGTAGAGACCATGCTCAGGCACCGTGAGCAAGGGGTCTACGACTGGGTTACCCTTTAAACTTAAGGAGAGCAAAAAACAAGTCGCAAGAGAGTGCTGAGACTGGACAAAGGCTCAATTAGCCTGCCCTTCGGTGGGTCCCGCTCAGGTCTCAAGCTGGTTTTAGCTCATCTTGTGCCATTACAGAAATAACTAGGCCATGCATCTCATACTGATTCCACCCAAAAGGGCAGAACAGATCCAAAATACAGGCTGGCTATCTCTGCACGAGAATATATATTTTTTAATGAAAGCTATGGCGGTTTTGGAGTCTGCGGTGCTTGTGGTGTGCAGTGCGGTGCTTACGGACCTCAGTGTCAGCTAGGAAGCATATGTTGGCGGAGATGCCCAGTCGGTGTGCCAGGTGGTCCGTTACAATCACATTACATTCACACTTATCCAATGCTTGTTGGACATTACGGTTTTACAATTGCTTTGCCTTGTACCAATGGTTGCCGTCACGTGATCGGCACATACAGTGTTCCTATTGGTCCCAAGCAGGGGCAGATGCATCTGATGCCGCTTCGGCAAGGTGTTGGATGAGGTGCCCCCAACTGGTTCGCTACGATAAATGGGCGGACATTAGTCTACACAATGCGCTTTACTATTATCGTGATACACCAAGTATTTAGTTTACGTTTGTGCGGTCATGTGATTGGCATTCTGGGCATTTCTATTGGCTTGCCGGGAGTAAGAGGCAGATACATCTGACGCCTCCTTAGTGAGGTGCAGGACGTCATAATGACTTGCCTTAATATGACTCCACCACCTATATGGTTATTGGCTAAAATAAGTTAGTGGGCGAATTTTAGCCACGCCCCCTTACGATATCGTATGATGACTATAGGTATGTCTGTGTAGGTCCACCCAATGAATAAATGGGTGGGTATACCATACGCGGCCTACCACATGCTATGTTCATTACAGCTGATTGTTCTCACATGAGGTATTCCTAGATAAACTGATTACTTTTCATTTGTCTGTTTACCCCTGATGAAGGTGCAAGTTGTCTGGCACTGAAACACACATCAGGCTTTTTTGTTTTTCACTATGGGGTTTGATTCACACCATTATTATTTAATTTTCTCTGAATGTATTTTTTCTCTGAATGTATTTTTTCTCATTTATTTATTCTTTATAGGTTAATTTAGCGTATTTTCTGTTTACTCTTTCTCCTTATGCCTATTTAGTATGATTACCAGGGAGAGAGGCTGCTTCTTATTCCTTTTCTTTATCTATTTTGTACTCATCCAATTTGGATGCCACTCAGCTTTAGGGTAATTCCCTTACCTGGTATTCTTGCTTCCAATAATTAGATGGAGATAAGATGGTATAGGTTTTTACTGTTAAAGGGACACTATAGTCACCAGAACAACTACAGCTTAATGTAGTTGTTTTGGTGAGTATAATAGCTCCCTTCAGGCATTTTCATGTAAACACTGCCTTTTCAGAGAAAAGGCAGTATTTTCAGAGAAAAGGCAGTATCTACATTGCCCCTAGGGACACCTGCAAGTGGCCACTCCTTAGATGGCCACTGGATGGCTTCCTGGCTCAGGGCTGCACAGTAAGCAGCCCTGCCGTTCAGCGTCCCTGCACTCTGCATGGAGACTCTGAATTTTCCTCATAGAGATGCATTGATTCAATGCATCTCTATGAGGAGGTCCTGATTGGCTAAAACAGCATTTGGCCCCGCCCGGGGCAGATTTTAGATTGGCTAAAAATCGGCCATTTTGATGATGCCACAAAGGGGGTGGAGCCAGCGCTGGCGTACCCGCGCGGCGCTGGAAATAAGGTAAGTTTTAAACTTTTATAGGGGGGCTAAGGGGAGGCAAGCCACCTTACTGGCCAAGCACCACACCAAGACATGCCAAGCACCACACCAAGACAGGCCAAGCAGCACACCAAGACAGGCCAAGCACCACACCAAGACATGCCAAGCATCACACCAAGACATGCCAAGCATCACACCAAGACATGCTAAAAACCACACCAAGACATGCCAAGCACCACACCAAGACAGGCCAAGCACCACACCAAGACACGCCAAGCACCACACCAAGACACGCCAAGCAGCACACCTAGACACGCCAAGCAGCACACCAAGACAGGCCAAGCACCATACCAAGACAGGCCAAGCACCACATCAAAGCAGGACAAACACCACACCAAGACATACCAAGCACCACACCAAAGCAGGACAAACACCACACCAAGACATTCCAAGCACCACACCAAGACAGGCCAAGCACCACACCAAGACAGAACAAACACCACACCAAGACAGGCCAAGCACCACACCAAGACAGGCCAAGCACCACACCAAAACATGCCAAGCACCACACCAAGACATACCAAGCACCACATCAAGATATACCAAGCACCACATCAAGACACGCCAAGCACCACACCAAGATAGGCCAAGCACCACACCAAAACAGGACAAAAACCACACCAAGATAGGCCAAGCACCACATCAAAGCAGGACAAACACCACACCAAGACATTCCAAGCACCACACCAAGACAGGCCAAACACCACACCAAGACATGCCAAGCACCACACCAAGACAGGCCAAGAACCACACCAAGACATGCATAGCACCACACCAAAACAGGACAAACACCACACCAAGACATTCCAAGCACCACATCAAGACATACCAAGCACCACATCAAGACATGCCAAGCACCACACCAAGACAGGCCAAGCACCACACTAAGACATGCCAAGCACCACACCAAAACATGCCAAGCACCACACCAAAACATGCCAAGCACCACACCAAGACATGACAAGCACCACACCAAGACAGGCCAAGCACCACACCAAGACAAGCCAAGCACCACACCAAGACAGGACAAACACCACACCAAAACAGGACAAAAACCACACCAAGATAGGCCAAGCACCACATCAAAGCAGGACAAACACCACACCAAGACATACCAAGCACCACATCAAAGCTGGACAAACACCACACCAAGACATTCCAAGCACCACACCAAGACAGGCCAAACACCACACCAACACAGGCCAAACACCACACCAAGACATGCCAAGCACCACATCAAGACATGCCAAGCACCACACCAAGACAGGCCAAGAACCACACCAAGACATGCCAAGCACCACACCAAAACAGGACAAACACCACACCAAGACATTCCAAGCACCACATGAAGACATACCAAGCACCACACCAAGACATGCCAAGCACCACACCAAAACATGCCAAGCACCACACCAAGACAGGACAAGCACCACACCAAGACAGGCCAAGCACCACACCAAGACAGGCCAAGCACCACACCAAGACAGGACAAACACCACACCAAAACAGGACAAACACCACACCAAAACAGGACAAAAACCACACCAAGATAGGCCAAGCACCACATCAAAGCAGGACAAACACCACACCAAGACATACCAAGCACCACATCAAAGCAGGACAAACACCACACCAAGACATTCCAAGCACCACACCAAGACAGGCCAAGCACCACACCAAGACATACCAAGCACCACATCAAGACAGGCCAAACACCACACCAAGACATACCAAGCACCACATCAAGACATGCCAAGCACCACACCAAAACAGGACAAACACCACACCAAGACATTCCAAGCACCACATCAAGACATACCAAGCACCACACCAAGACATGCCAAGCACCACACCAAGACAGGCCAAGCACCACACCAAGACATGCCAAGCACCACACCAAAACATGCCAAGCACCACACCAAAACATGCCAAGCACCACACCAAGACATGACAAGCACCACACCAAGACAGGCCAAGCACCACACCAAGACATGCCAAGCACCACACCAAGACAGGACAAACACCACACCAAAACATGCCAAGCACCACACCAAAACATGCCAAGCACCACACCAAGACATGACAAGCACCACACCAAGACAGGCCAAACACCACACCAAGACATACCAAGCACCACATCAAGACATGCCAAGCACCACACCAAAACAGGACAAACACCACACCAAGACATTCCAAGCACCACATCAAGACATACCAAGCACCACATCAAGACATGCCAAGCACCACACCAAGACAGGCCAAGCACCACACCAAGACATGCCAAGCACCACACCAAAACATGCCAAGCACCACACCAAGACATGCCAAGCACCACACCAAGACATGACAAGCACCACACCAAGACAGGCCAAGCACCACACCAAGACAGGACAAACACCACACCAAAACATGCCAAGCACCACACCAAAACATGCCAAGCACCACACCAAAACATGACAAGCACCACACCAAGACAGGCCAAGCACCACACCAAGACATGCCAAGCACCACACCAAGACAGGACAAACACCACACCAAAACAGGACAAACACCACACCAAAACAGGACAAAAACCACACCAAGATAGGACAAGCACCACATCAAAGCAGGACAAACACCACACCAAGACATACCAAGCACCACACCAAGACAGGCCAAACACCACACCAAGACAGGCCAAACACCACACCAAGACATACCAAGCACCACATCAAGACAGGCCAAACACCACACCAAGACATACCAAGCACCACATCAAGACATGCCAAGCACCACACCAAAACAGGACAAACACCACACCAAGACATTCCAAGCACCACATCAAGACATACCAAGCACCACATCAAGACATGCCAAGCACCACACCAAGACATGCCAAGCACCACACCAAAACATGCCAAGCACCACACCAAAACATGCCAAGCACCACACCAAGACATGACAAGCACCACACCAAGACAGGCCAAGCACCACACCAAGACATGCCAAGCACCACACCAAGACAGGACAAACACCACACCAAAACAGGACAAAAACCACACCAAGATAGGCCAAGCACCACATCAAAGCAGGACAAACACCACACCAAGACATACCAAGCACCACATCAAAGCTGGACAAACACCACACCAAGACATTCCAAGCACCACACCAAGACAGGCCAAACACCACACCAACACAGGCCAAACACCACACCAAGACAGGCCAAGAACCACATCAAGACATGCCAAGCACCACACCAAGACAGGCCAAGAACCACACCAAGACATGCCAAGCACCACATGAAGACATACCAAGCACCACATCAAGACATGCCAAGCACCACACCAAAACAGGACAAACACCACACCAAGACATTCCAAGCACCACATGAAGACATACCAAGCACCACACCAAGACATGCCAAGCACCACACCAAAACATGCCATGCACCACACCAAAACATGACAAGCACCACACCAAGACAGGCCAAGCACCACACCAAGACATGCCAAGCACCACACCAAGACAGGACAAACACCACACCAAAACAGGACAAACACCACACCAAGATATACCAAGCACCACATCAAGACATGCCAAGCACCACACCAAGACAGGCCAAGAACCACACCAAGACAGGCCAAGCACCACACCAAAACAGGCCAAGCAGCACATCAAGACAGGACAAACACCACACCAAGACAGGACAAACACCACACCAAGATATACCAAGCACCACGTCAAGACATGCCAAGCACCACACCAAGACAGGCCAAGAACCACACCAAGACATGCCAAGCACCACACCAAAACAGGCCAAGCACCACATGAAGACATACCAAGCACCACATCAAGACATGCCAAGCACCACACCAAAACAGGACAAACACCACACCAAGACATTCCAAGCACCACATGAAGACATACCAAGCACCACACCAAGACATGCCAAGCACCACACCAAGACATGCCAAGCACCACACCAAGACATGACAAGCACCACACCAAGACAGGCCAAGCACCACACCAAGACATGCCAAGCACCACACCAAGACAGGACAAACACCACACCAAAACAGGACAAACACCACACCACATTCCAAGATGAAGACATACCAAGCACCACACCAAGACATGCCAAGCACCACACCAAAACATGCCAAGCACCACACCAAAACATGACAAGCACCACACCAAGACAGGCCAAGCACCACATCAAGACATGCCAAGCACCACACCAAGACAGGCCAAGCACCACACCAAGACAGGCCAAGAACCACACCAAGACATGCCAAGCACCACACCAAAACAGGCCAAGCAGCACATCAAGACAGGACAAACACCACACCAAGACAGGACAAACACCACATCAAGATATACCAAGCACCACGTCAAGACATGCCAAGCACCACACCAAGACAGGCCAAGAACCACACCAAGACATGCCAAGCACCACACCAAAACAGGCCAAGCACCACACCAAAACAGGCCACGCACCACACCAAAACAGGCCAAGCACCACATCCCTCTTTAACTACCCCATGCTTACAGGGCTCCTCCCAAATTGAACAGAATAGCTTACATCATACCCATGTTATTTATATGTATGTCGGTTACTTGTACGTTATATGGCAATGTGAATTTTAAACTTATGATATCTAGAGTAAAGCTCTTCTGTCATAGGAGACTGAAGTAATCACAGTTGTACAGTTTATTTCTATTTGTGAGAAAAGATTATAACTCCAGTCTTTGCATTGCCATTATATGTATGTATGTTTTTACGGTTTGTCAATATCAGATAGTACAATAACTTATTAGAAACTTATGAAATACACTGCTCAAAAAAATAAAGGGAACACAAAAATAACACATCCTAGATCTGAATGAATTAAATATTCTTCTGAAATACTTTGTTCTTTACATAGTTGAATGTGCTTACAACAAAATCACACAAAAATAAAAAAATAGAAATCAAATTTTTCAACCCATGGAGGTCTGGATTTGGAGTCACACTCAAAATTAAAGTGGAAAAACACACTACAGGCTGATCCAACTTTGATGTAATGTCCTTAAAACAAGTCAAAATGAGGCTCACTAGTGTATGTGGCCTCCACGTGCCTGTATGGTCTCTGGCTGGTCATTGGCTGCGATTGTAGATACCCTGCTGAAACCTGTAGTGAGCGCTGCACTGTCTATCATCTACAAATCACTGCTAAGATCCATTAACTTATAGATTCACAAATTTGGGACACCATAAACACTGTAAAGAAGTCTGCCTACCCTTAGTGATGCTGTTACCCAGTGACAGTCCTAATATACAGGTCAAGGGGTGCTTGGACAATAAAGAAAACCAGATTTTAAAGAGTACATAAGTATATCAACCACCTTGTGCTGTAATGAAGCACTACAGTTGTAATGGTGCTTGAAGTGTCCCTTTAAAACAACCAACCTACATGAATTAGAGACCAACCTTCTTTTAATTCATCTGATTTAATTTGCTAGACATACTGCAAGATGTATTAATTGATAATCTGATGACACGCAATATGTCTGCTCATCCAATACTAGACCACCATTCAGGGTCCATTGCACGCTGCACGCTGCACGCTGCACGCTGAGTGGCAGAGGAAATCTCAATGGCAGCACTTGGTTTAGGAAAAGTTCTTTATTTGGATAAAAACAAGTTATTGGTCCATCAAATATAACTCTGAAAATATCCCAGAAACATTTTATGTCCAAGTCATTCTAGAAACAGCGCTCTGGACTCATGGCAAGCTACTGGTATTTGGCAGATCTTTATTATTATTATTTTATTATTTATATAGCGCCATCAGACTCCGTAGTCCATAGGTGACATCACAAGGAGAGGATTTCCACCATACACTTGGTAGTACTCCCTGCACCATGACCTCATCAAATCTCCAGCGCTCATCTCCACTCCTCTCCTCTCCTGGCAGCATTTGGCTTCTGGATTTTAGGATTCAGGAAGAGCAGAGTGCTACTGCGCCGTGGCGCCACTGAGCCCAGCTGGTCGCTCTTAACCAAGCAGCGGCGCCCCTGCCCGTCAGCACTCTGCTTCTCCTTAATCCCAAACTTCAGAAGCCAGATGCTGCCAGGGGAAGAGTATAATCCAGCGCTGGAGTCAATTTAGAAGTTAAACAATTAGAGAAGGGGTTAACCTCTTGAGGTAAGAGAACTTCATTTTGATGAAGTTGTTGTGGTGCCTGGAGGGTCCCTTTAATACATATAATACAGGATCTTCACTCTGTCCTGAGATTGATGGGAGTCACACTCCGAAGGAGCAGTCGCTATCTGTAGCTGCCATCATTAATCCACCCCTCTCATTTACTGACACGTCGGGAAAAGGGCTACAGAGAGAAACATATCGGGGACTAGTCACTAAACAGACAATTGGAGTTAATTTAAAAAATTATTGCAATCTGTGACAAACGCTGAACTGGAGAGATTTTCTAAATTATATATTTTGCCTAAATTTTCATTTTGTTTTTCAAATTATTTCTAATTTAACTTAATTTAAATTAACTTTAATGAATAAGTCCCTCCAAAACCAATATACAGACAGACAGACAGATTGTTGCACTTCATTGTGCAGCTCAATCTAAATATATATATATATATAATGTATCTTTTATTAAAATAATATAAAACTATATATTATATGGGTGTCTGTATCTGGCTGGATGGGACCTGTGATCCTTTGTGACATCCTTTGTGACATCATGTGACATCACCCTTTATGGTCACAGCTTACAGTAGTCACTAGACACTGCTCAGACAGTTGACACTGCTTAGCTGTTGTAGTGATCAAGTTGCTAATGATGGCAAATAGAAACATTTTCTCGTGTTTTCCACGTTTGCGCTTTCGAAATGTAAGTAAATCACTTGGTTTCTTTAAGGTTCCAATTATATTAATAATTAACTGAGCGCTATTACCCCAATATAATTCATGGCTGGGTCCAAAAGGAGAATACAGTGAGACCCATTTTATAATTATTAATGTGATTTGCTGGAGGGGGAGAAGCAGATCTTATTTTAATTAAGTTAAATCCAAATACAATGAAAAATGTTTCTTTGTCGCAATAAATACTAGAGTTTAAGGTAACGGTGTACACAATTTGCACAAACAATATTTGCTCCACAAGACACATTTTTCATTTAATATGAGTAATTTGGAATTGTGACCTCCTTCCCATCTTTACATAATTCTCCTCCGTCCCTGTCCTTAACTCCAGCCATCACTCCTCAGTTATAGAGACAGAGACCGGAGTCACATCTTTAGTGTTAAAATCGATCAAGAACAGGTTAACACTTATATGCAAGACTGCGCCTGGGCCTCCAGGCACCATAACAACTTCAATGAAATGATTACATGCTACACAAACTTAAGCCCATGGAATCAAACTCCCACTACTCTTGGGCAGCAGCAGTGGCTATAGTATTCATCTGCCCAAATACATAAGCGCTATCCTAAATCCCTATGTACATTTCAATAATGAGGATTTTAGTATTACTCCAACGGCCATTAAACTGTAAGCTCACCTGTCACGGCAAGGCAAACCTATCAGGTGAGTCCTACACAAGTTGTTATGGTGCCTGGAGTGTCATTTCCTGTATTTTAGTTTGTTTGTAGCAGTTTAAAAAGTATCGCTGGCCCCTGTGGCAGCAACCAGGGGATAGACTGTAAAAGCTTTTGGTTTGTTTGAACATTTTTCTTGCAAAGTGCCTTTTGTTTTCTAATTGATTTTGTTTCTGCTTTTTCAGCGCGCCAGACGTCAGATACCTGATGCTGTTGAGCAGAAAGTAGATCAACTTCCAGGTACATTAAAACACTGTGTGTGATTGCTGTGTATATATGTAAGTGTATATCTATCGATATCCATGTGGTATTAGGGCAAACTGTTTTGTAATGATTCGTACTCTTACCAGGGTTCTGCCAGGCACAGAAGCCGGACACCAATACCACCAGTCATTCAATGACTGAGAACATCGAATGAGCTCTCTCAGCCAATGAATAACTCTCTGTGCATGGAATGTGCACAGAATTGACATTGTGCGACTCAGAACTGTCATTCAGACTGGCTAATGACACTCATCTAAATATCTTGTGTATGTTCAGACTACAAGCACCATAACCACTTCAAATCACTGAAGTGGTCATGGTGCTTCGAGGAACCCTTTAACATTTAGATTTCTATTGTTAGATGGTTACCTGAAGACAATGTACAGAATATACGATGTTGAAATTTGTGGCACGTTAGATTGCAGAGTTAATTTTTTCGGGAAGGTAGTTCGCCTTATATATATTTCCAGTAGCATTGTGAGTCTCTCCTAACCCCAGCACCCCCTTTTGTGTTTCCCCAAACAAAGTGACGGCTTCCTACCCATAATCCACTACTGTCTGATACCAAAATACATCTGTAATCTCAGCCAACCTTAATGTTCCCATTGTTTATAATGACAATGCTGAGCATATCCCATAAACTCAGCAGGTGTGTCTAGTTCAGCACTTGGCAGTAGTTTCATTCAGTAAAAGTCAAACTGTTTCTTGAGCTACGTTCTCCAGTCATGTTTTTAAAGGAATGGAGCTAGTGGTTGCCAGTTGTGTAAACGTAACAAATGTTCTCCCCATGAAATCTGGAAAAGACATCAGGTGTCGGGGAAGACTGAATACATGGGATGTGGTCACAGGCGCCTGGTGGGACCCAGGTAAGGAGTAAAACCATACTTGGAGTATTCCTAGGAATGTCCATGAAAGACTGGAGTCGATACAATATTTACTATAGATCTATCTCACTGACATCTATTGAAACTGGAAGGCATGTACATTGCGTGCTCCTGTAATGTCATCAATCACGGGGGACGTCTAGCAGCTGGGATTATTATTGTTTACTCTGTATTTATCTTTTCTTTCAGTATTTTTATACTCCTTGATTTAAAGCTGCTCTCTGGGACTGTGTCACCTATAATGGCATTACCTCCTCTACTTTATGTAACTGTCTTATTTATTTATTAAGTGATACTGT